TTAACTAATCTACTTAGCAAGCAAATAAACATGAAAATGAAACAAAGGATGATATTTAAACTAAGTGAGGATGCAAATGATGATAAATAAACAAGTAAATGATCGGATGATGATGATATATGATAAAGGCAGAGGCTTTAGACAGGCTCAAAGACTTGGGTGCTTCCAAGCTAAACTAGCGAGCTAATGAATCAATATTATCAAGCGGTTTCATTTAACATGAACTCAAGTTATGATAATCTTCTCATGAAAGTATTAAACATCTAAACTGATCCTCTTTCATACCAAAATCCCTTTTGAGAAGCATGAATCACTCAGCTTTAAGATCCAGTTCAATAAGTCATTTAAAAGTTCAAACTATCACTCTCGCGATGAAAGACTCTTAAACCTCTAACCGATTGGTTCAGACGTTTCTACGAACACTTTTGATGCGAGATATGTCTCAGATCTGAACCGCAAGTGATGTGCTGGGATCCAGCTTAGAGATCTTGTCCGTTAAAGAATGAAACATGCAAGACTAGACCCCTAAACTCACTTTTCTATCATGAAAGCACCCTAATCTACCTATCTAAAACCTCTTAAACGACTACTCACTGATCATAATGAGCTCACTAAGTCCTTTGCAAGACGTGTAGCTAGTCATGATAAGGAGTTTGATGCTGGAGAACAAAAGAAAATAAACAAGAACAAGATTCTCACGTGAAAACGAGATATCAGATTAGATTAATCAAGTTTCTCAAAAGAGGCAAGTTCTTTAAGCTAAAACAGGCAGGAAATGAGATAAGATAAAAGATGATTAGGTTTCTGGTCCTAAAATCTATTTATAGTGAAGGGTAAGTGTCGCGGGTCAGCCTGGAACAAACCGGGTACTGAACGCTCTTCTTGGGTCGTCGGGTGAGCACCACGGTGTGTGAGAGATTGATGCCGAGGGGTGCACGTGAGCAAAGATCAAGATGGAGATCTCATGAAGAACAGGTCAAGAACATGCATAAACCCTAGTCTTCAATCCGTCTTCACGTGCATCCTTCAAATCAACTTGTTCTTGAATCTGGGTTCGTGACAAGGGACCTCGGCATGCAATGCCGAGGAGCTTGGTAGGCAAGGGGTTTGGAAGAAGGAGTCCGGCATGTAATACCGATTACTTTATACCGAGGTTCACGTCCAACACTTAGTCGTTTTCAGCTTCACTTCTCTTGCATGCATGCCTCGATCTTGACATACCGAGGAGTTAGTACGAGGTTTAGTCCAAAAAGCTTTCAGGGGATGAGCCTCGGCCTGAGCAATGTTGAGGTAACAATGCCGAGGTCTGTAGAAACACTTAGCACATATCGCAACTCCTTTGGGCTCGTATCGACCAACTCGTTTTCCGGAGGCAATAACTTTCAGCACACGACTCCAAATTGAGCGACCTCAGGCGTTCCGGAAAGAGAATTCACAGACCTTGAATATTGATGAAGGCCCCGTAATCTTTGAAACTCATCTGATCGGTTTTCGGATGCATGCGAGACAGGCGTGTTTTCCGGAGGCAATATCTCTCTACTCCTAGGTCCGAATCACGTGATTCCAACTGTTCTAGGATCTTGGCTTAATTAGCTACAACTTTGATGAAGACCCCGTCAACTGATTCGGACTGGAAGTTTCCCGGCTTTGAGATCTTTAAGGCGCGCAGGTGAAAATGGATTTTTAGTCGGTAAATGCTTCCCGCGGTAAGGAAAATATCCGAGAATCATGTACCGCGGTAAGCTTTCTAACCAATAAAAACTTCTCGCCTCGGCATAAAACTTCACCGAATGGAATTTTCACCCGGGTTTGATTTTTAGCCGGTAAATGCCACCCGATAGCGATTTTGGCCGATGTTATGATCCAGCCGGTACGAGTTTTCGCCGAGAAATTCCTCCATGCGGTTTTCACTATTTTTGACCCTTTTCTTCACTGTTTCCACTTCTGATCCTCCTCTTGAGCTCCAAATGTCCTCCAAAGCACCTGATAAGACTTCAAACTATGCAAAACTCTTTGGGACCTAATGCAAATCCTGAAACCTATTTTGATGTCTAAAGACCTAATATGAGTGAGAAAATGCATGATTTGGACTCAAAAATGCAGCCTAGATGATGCAAAATATAGACATATCAAATCCCCACACTTGTCCTTTGCTTGTCCTCAAGCAAAAAGAACAAATGAGAGAAAAAGGTTGGAATGCATCGGGAATTCATATTTCCTTTGAGAGAAGTGATCACAATGAAAACTCAAGTTCATGCTCAAATATGCAATGCGAAGTCATACTCAGATATATATCAACTCAACAAGGAATCTCCACAAGTTCTCCTCTTTCTCAACTCTTTCACATTCATTAAGCTTAATCAGGTGAATCAAATGATGCAATATTTAAACAAGCTGGATTGGCTAGGGAGAGGCTATGAGATAAAAATGACCTCATCAGTGTTCAAGCGGGTTCAATGCAGCAAATGGATCTCTCTATGAATGATCAAACTTCGGCAGAATGGTAAAGGTAAAAGGCAACCGATGCATACAAGGGCAGAAACTCGTCCCACCCCACTCTCTACTCGAAGTCTCCTCATATGCTCACACTCTCAAGAACCTCTCATTTCACTCTCATCATTGCCTAGCTAGGGGATTCACTTCCTTTTCTTATTCACAAGTCTCGGAGCCCACCCTTTTATCAGCTCTTTTCCACTTTCTTTTCACGATTCCCAGCCTCTTTTCTTTCTTTTTCAAATCGTTTGAGCTCTTTCGCCTCTTTTCATTTTCCTTTCACTTAGAGGCTGGATTTTCTTTCTCATAACACAAGAGCTCGGCTTCTCAATTCAAAAGCTCCAAAACAGAATTCTTTTCTTTCATTCCCTTAGCTATCTCTTCTTTCTCTTTTCCACTCATCTCACCTTTTTCCACTCACCAACAAGTCCTTTCCTCTCATTCATTCCTCGCCAATACTCTCGGTGATGTTGGAACACAGCTCTCAATGAGGTCTGCCCTTGTCGCCCTAAACCTAACACTTTCTGCTAAGTTTGATCCAAGGTGGCCTTTCAGTTCACACACAAAAATTGGCTTGAAAGAAACGATAGGTTCAAGGTGAGGGAACTGATCCATGATGCGGATTCAGCTACCTGAGCTAAGGAAAGAGGGCGGTAAAACAATGACTCTAGCTCAAGTATGTATGTTGGTATCCACAAGCTTATTCAAACAATGCACCACAAGATATTTTCAAGTCAAGTTCAAGGTTCTCACTTAATTAGAGTTGAGTTCAATTCAAACTTGTTTCTCAAATTCAAATCGTTTTCAGACTTTGCAAGCACCAAATGAGGTTCACAAGCATATTTAGTTCAAGTTCTCAAGGTGATGTACTCTCTAGGAAAAAACCTATCATTACTCCTTGCATTGATGCAATCCTACATGATGCAACTAGACTCGATCTTAGAATGTGAAATGCAACTAGCATGAACATTTTTTTTGTGAAAATTTTCTGGTTTTTCATATGCACTAAGCTACATGAGACTCAAAATGCAGAAAGTCAAATAAGAAATGCCGTGGCCGGATCGATCCAGTCCTCTTTGCCTGGTGGAAACTCAGGGTTCCTCGCATTTGAGCTCTCTCCAACCTCTTCTTGTGTAACCGGTGCTGTTGAGGTCGCCGAGTTCTTATCAGGTGAAGAAGGTGCGGTGAGCTGCTTGACCTTCTTCTTTAGCTGCCTTACACAATCCACCAACGCATGAATGGTCTTGTCTTGCCACTTACACCACTTTTGGAGAGTGTTCACCCTCGAGTACAGCTTCTTGGTGTGATATTAGGGTTCTCCTCACACGTATGGATCAAAGTGATATCGGCCAGCTCCTATTCTTCTTTTAGAGAATCTCGGTTCCTCGTTCTCACACCCGGCGGTTCCTTGATCGTTCGGAGGTTTACTAGACGCAGCCTGTTCTTCTTTAGTGCACTTGCGCAATGGTGGATCGAAGAGAGGGTTGTACAACTAGTCTTTGAGCACGTAGAAAGAGACATTACGTTGCTCATGTAACATGGTGAGGGATCTATTAGGCAGAAGAACTTGTGTGCCATCCCTGTGCATCAGCGTGAAGTTGTAAACCCATTTGTTCCCTGCCTTGCCTCCGAAGAAACCGCTTTTGCTTAGGTATTGTTAATCAATGAGACCCGGCTTTGACATGGATTCAGGGAATACAAACCCTTTGGCTCTCAAGATCTTTGTCACCACCCAACCGTTCTGAAGCCTCCTCGTGCCCTTCTTCTTCCGATCACACCACACATTGTGGCGGTAAGTGAGCATTTGGATCGCAAAGAATGCACCAAGAGAGCGTACATGTAGCGGCCCTTGGAACTCCTTCTTGTTCTTCATCTGAGTGATGAGGGGCTTCAAGCCAAGACCCAACATGTCAAGCTCGGTCAAGTGAATGACGCCAGGGTTGTAGGTTTAGAAGAACATGCACGCCAAGACGCGGTTGGTGTATCTGATCGCTGGGTTCCTTATGCAACTTGTCTTGCTCTTGCCTCCCAAATATGGTCCAAAAGAAATGGTTTCCCACAGGGCAGCCAACTCTTCTTTTGGGTACACAAATTTCTCCAAGGAGCTTTCATTCCTCACAAAGCCAAATATCTCATCTAGCTCCTTGAAACCATTTCAAACTCTATATGACCGAATCCTTTCCCATGCAAGCGCTTGGGATCTCTCTTGGGGTATAAGAATACCTCTAGAGTGGCCAAGAACTGTTGTGTAATCCCTTCATACGCCACATCACTCATCTCAAAGAACGAAGCCAAACCCATTTTTTGAAAAATGAGGGTGACATCGTCGAGTATCTCAAGCTTCCTCAACAACTCCATATCAGGGAACCGACCTTGAGCCACTCTCACTGAGTTAAAATGGTCCAAATACTCTCCAGTGGTTGGAAAGTGTTCTCCTTCAGGCTCGGCTTTAGGTTCTTGCCTTGTTCCTTCACCATGTTCTGTCTTATACTCATTTGTATCGCACTTTAGGACCAGTGCTCCAGCTCCGAAGCCACTAGCTTTCCTTTCCTTCTCGGCTCAGGCGCATGTGCAAGTGCCAGCTCGCTGTTTCTTGCACGCTTTGCAGATGGCTCGCCTTCGCCCCCTTTGGTGCTCGCGGAGGCTTTCTTGCTTGTTCCTCCATTTTGTGCTGAGGCGACAGCTTTCCCTTTTCTTGTCCTCCTCTGAACATCTTTCAGAGGGCTAGAGTGGTTGGTCTCTTGGTCATCTGCAAGAGAAGTTCTCGAAGAAGAAATGAGAACCGAATGTATCGCCAAGCTCAAAAGTCAAAAGAGCAAACAAGAACATAGATTTCTCTCAAACAGTGTCGGTTTAATGGTTTCTCAAGCCCAAATTGATTCACAAACAAGTCAATACAATCAATATTAGCAAAGAAATATAGGCAGTTCAGCTCAGAAACTCATTTCACCATTAAAGTCGTTTCAAAGCACAATTTCTCATGAATTTTAAAAACTCAAGAACAAACGATTTTCAGTGCAAGAACCGGTTTTTCCTGTGTTGTCTATCCTGATGGAATTTCTAAAATTGTTCCCAAAGGTTTTAATGATCAAAAAGAATCGATTCCAAATTTTACAAACAATAAAGCTCGCAAACGTCTATGGAAAAAGATGAGTTCTTTAAAATGCAAATACCTTTGGGAACACCAGATTCAAGCGTAACGAGATGCTTATGCAGAATAGACAACACCTTAACGAGTCTAGAACACTTGGAATCGTGCAAACTAATAAGAAATGAGAAAGTTGTGAGCGTGAAATGCAGATAAAAGGATTAAGAAGGCAAACTCTGCGTTTTGGCTCAGTATGGAGGCAGGTATGGGCTGGAGCACGCTTTCCAGCTGGCTTTTCGACTGTTGTGGGACTGGTTCCCCCATCCGTTCAAGCTCCAGCCGTTGACCGCGCCAAAAATCAGCTTGAACGAGCGTTTGAATTCAAAATGCCGCGCAAAGCCTTTAAGAGACCGCGGTATGGATAAGACGAGAGCCGTACGGTCTAGACTGATTTTTCTCGTGTTAACACAGGTGGCCTCGACGTGTTCCAACCCGAGGGCACCAAGCCGAGGGTTTTGAGCTCATGCTAACACGTAAATTTGCGTGGCCCTCAAGTCTTTTCCATTGACCGCGCAAACCTTCTTCTTTGACTTAAGTGTCCCAAGTGTTCTTGTTTTTGTTCTTTGTCGTTACCAGGCACCTCGGCATGCTCCACCCCGAGGGCATGATGCCGAGGGCACTTGTTTTAACACAGAACACTTGGTGCTTGGGGGTTTTGATGAACTGGCCTCGGTGTAAACGGGTCGCGGCCTCAAAACGAGGTTTTTAACCGTTTCTTGTGAACATTGACCCTCGGTGTATTTATACCGAGGTGTTTACACCGTGGGCTTCCCCCACCACTTAGTCATTTCACGATCTCACTTTCACTACACGTGATACGATCCAAGGTGATCTACTCGGAAGCAAAGAACAATGGATGCGGCGATATGGTGGATAGACTGAAACGATGAAGCGAAAAGGATGGTGGTAGTGATACGAGGATGGCTCGCGACGATGAGAGATGATGGTGGAGATGATAAGATAGAAGAATCTCTTGTAAACAGATTAGTTTTTAAGAGATTCGAATTTCAGAGTTTTTAGTTCTCAGAAATCAAAAAGAGAGAAGAACACGTTAAAAGTTTGATCAAAATTCTTCACTGAATATGACTTAGGCGATTTTCTCTTTTTTATAGACTAAGAGAGAAAATCGCAGCCCTAATAACAAAACAACATGGGGTTTGAAATAAAACAACAAGAAGTTTAATTTAAAAATAAAACAGCGAGGCGTCCCTTCTAAACCTAAGTGGTGCGCCTAAAACAACTAGTGCACAAGTCATTGTGACTTTGCATGTTATTACCCATTAGTAACAACTTCTAAGTAACTCGACGTAGCAATGATTTCTGCCTCGTTAAAAACCTTGGAGAAGAACCTCCTTGCCTTCCAAAATCTTCACCAAGGAAAAGAGTACAGAACCATCACCTAAGTTACCTAGTCATTGTTACTGGGTTCCTCATTCTTCAAGATAGAGATGTTGAAGATGTGAGCTCCAGCCTCCTGGTGATCGCTGTCCTCTGTGGCAATGAGTGCGTGAGCCTCCTTAGCCATCTCTCTAGCTCTGGAACGAGTGATCCTGCCAGCTACCTCTGGTTCCTCCTCCTCTGAGCTGGTCACGATCATATCATCCTCTCCCTCTTGAAAAGGATTTGTCCTCAAATCTGAATCTGCAACATAAGGAAGCAAGTCAGAAACATTGAAAGCATCAGAAACGTCATACTTACCTTGAAGATCAATCTGATATGCGTTGTTGTTGATTCTTTTGATGACTGCGAATGGTCCATCCACTCTGGGCATTAGCTTGTTCTTTCGTTCAGCTGGAAATCGCTCCTTCCTCAGATGGATCCACACCAGATCGCCTTCTTCAAAAATCAGCGCCTTTCGTCCTTTGTTGGCATGCTTCTCATACTGCTTTGTCTTTTTCTCGATATTCTCCTTAGCCTTAGCATGAATTCTTCTGACCTGTTCAGCTTTCTCCTTGCCATTCAAACTGCATTTTCCACTTAAAGGCAAAGGGATCAAGTCTAGAGGTGATTGTGGATTAAACCCATATACAATTTCAAAAGGAGAAAAGAGAGTAGCAGAATGCTTAGCGTGATTGTAAACAAACTCGACATGAGGCAGGCACTCTTCCCATGTCTTGAGGTTACTTTTCACCAAAGTCCTTAAAAGTGTGGACAACGTTCTATTCACCACCTCGGTCTGTCCATCGGTCTGAGGATGACACGTAGTTGAGAATGAGAGCTTTGTTCCCAGCTTAGCCCAAAGCGTTCGCCAAAAGTGTCCTAAGAACTTCGTGTCTCGATCTGAAACGATAACCTGTGGCATTCCATGCAGTCGCACTACTTCCCTGAAAAACAAGTTAGCTACATTCACAGCATCATCTGTCTTGTGGCTAGCGATGAAGTGAGCCATCTTGCTAAACCTGTCAACAACTACAAAAATAGAATCTCTACCATTTCTGGTGCGAGGTATGCCAACTACAAAATCCATAGAGATATTAGTCCAAGGTTGAGAAGGAATAGGCAAAGGAGTATACAAACCGTGAGGCTGAACTTTACTCTTAGCCATCTTACATACGACACATCTAGAGCAGATTTTCTCAACGTCCTTCTTCATGTTCGGCCAGTAGAAGTGCTCTTGTAGTCCAAGAAGTGTCTTTGTAACACCAAAATGTCCAGCTAATCCACCTCCATGAGCTTCTCGTACCAGTAACTCTCGAATGGATCCTCGTGGTATGCACAATCGGTTACTGAAGAACAAGTATCCATCCTGTCTATAAAATTTCTCACAGGCAAACTTATGACATTTGGCATAGCTCTCAGAAAAGTCAGTGTCAGATTCATAAAGATCTATAATATGCTCAAATCCAATCAACTTTGATGTTAAAGTCGAAATAAGAGTGTACCTCCGGGATAATGCGTCTGCGACCACATTATCTTTACCTTTTTTGTACTTAACAATGTAGGGGAATGTCTCAATGAACTCCATCCATCGCCCATGTCTTTTGTTAAGTTTCTGCTGACCCTTGAGGTGCTTCAGAGACTCGTGATCGGTATGAATGACGAATTCCTTAGGCCATAAGTAATGCTGCCACATCTGGAGAGCTCGAACCAATGCGTATAACTCCTTGTCATACGTGGGATAATTCAGCGTTGATCCTCCTAACTTTTCGCTGAAGTAAGCGACGGGCTTCTTATCCTGCATAAGAACTGCTCCAATACCTACACCAGAAGCATCACATTCAATCTCAAAAGTCTTAGTAAAATCAGGAAGTACTAGTAAGGGCGAATTGATAAGCTTCTCTTTAAGGGCTGTAAAAGCCTTTTCTTGCGCCTCTCCCCACTTGAACCCCACGTCTTTCTTGATGACTTCGGTTAAGGGTGCGGCTATGGTGCTGAAATCACGAACAAAACGCCTGTAGAATCCTGCTAAGCCATGGAAACTTCGGACTTCTCCAATATTCTTGGGGGTTGGCCACTCCTTGATAGCTTTTATCTTCTCTTCATCTACTTTAACTCCTCCTGCACTTACTACAAAGCCTAAGAAAACAATCTCGTTAGTGCAGAATGAACATTTAGATAAATTAGCAAAGAGAGATTGAGAGCGAAGAACATCAAGAACCGATCTGATGTGATCTAGATGTTCTTCCAAACCTTTACTGTAGATGAGGATATCGTCGAAATAAACCACTACGAACACGCCAATGAATGGTCTCAGGGCATGGTTCATTAGTCTCATGAAGGTGCTGGGAGCATTGGTGAGGCCAAACGGCATAACTAGCCACTCGTAGAGTCCCTGCTTTGTCTTGAATGCCGTTTTCCACTCATCCCCTTCCTTCATTCTGATCTGATGATATCCACTCTTCAAGTCGATCTTAGAGAAGATTGTCGACCCACAGAGCTCATCCAGCATATCATCTAGCCTTGGGATCGGATGCCGATACTTCACAGTGATGTTGTTGATAGCTCGGCAGTCTACACACATCCTCCAGGAACCATCCTTCTTTGGCACCAACAGAACTGGAACCGCACATGGACTCAAGCTTTCTCGGATATGGCCTTTGCTCATCAGCTCCTCCACTTGCTTTTGCAGCTCCTTAGTCTCTACAGGGTTGGTTCGGTATGCTGGCCTGTTAGGTAAGGCTGATCCTGGTACCAAGTCAATCTGATGCTCTATCCCGCGAATTGGAGGTAGCCCTGGTGGAATTTCTACTGGAAAAACGTCCTTGTATTCCTGCAAAATCTCAAACATAGCACTAGGAAGCTCCTG